CACAGTCAAATGCTTTTGCAGTCAATGAAGCACAGATGGGCATTCCTCTGGTACTCTCTACTTTCAGCCAAGATCCATCCAACATTATCTATAATATCCCTAGTACCACAGCCTCTTCTAAACCCAGCCTGCACATCTAGCAGTTCTCTTTTGATGTACTATTTTAGTCGCTTTTGGATAATTTTCAGGAGAATCTTGCTTGCATGTGATATAAATGATATTGTTCAATAATTTCTGCACTCTGTTGGGTCACCGTTCTTTGGAATGGGAACAAATATGGATATGTTCCAATCAGTTGGACAGGTGATAGTCTAGATTTCTTGGCACAACTTGGTGAGCGCAGAGAGGGCAGTATCTGTTTGTTGAAATATGTCAGTTGGTATGCCATCAATTCTTGGGGCTTTGTTTTCTGCCAGTTCTCTCAGAGCAGCTTGAATTTTCTTCATCACCAAAAGGATCTTGCTCATACATTGTTTCATGAAATTTTTCTGGGTCTGACAATTCCTTTTGGTACAATCACTCTGTATACTCCTTCCATTTTCCTTTAATGAGACCTGGATCATTTAATATTCATCCTTAAGTATTACAACTCGAGGCTTGAATTTGTTCTTTAGTTCCTTCAGCTTAAGAAATGCTAAGCAAGTTTGGCCCTTTTGATTTTCTTACTCCAGCTCTTCGCACATTTCATTATAATACTTAACTTTTTCTTCCCATGTGGCCCTTTGAAGTCTTCTGTTCAGCTCCTTAATTTCTTGATTTGTTCCCTTTGTTTTGACTTCTCAGTGCTCTTGTACAATATTCAGAGTCTAGTCTAGCATTCATTTTGGTCTTTTCTTCCTTCTCTGTCTTTGTCATGACCTTTGCATTCTTTACTGATGACATTCTTTGTACCCTTTCACAGCTCAGCTGGTCTTTGCTCATTAGTGTTCAAGGACTCAAACCTGTTCCTGAGATGGTTTTGCAATTCGAGTGGGATAGACTCAAGGTCAAATTTTGGTTCCTGTGAATTTGATTTAATATCACTGCAGTGTAGAATTTTGGATCTTACCTGAAAATAGAGAGTACCAGAAGGATATCTATCTATGTTTTATTGGCTATGCAAGGGCATTTGACTGTGTTGACCATAAAAAAAATATGACTAACATTCAGAAAAATGAGAATCTAGAATACTTAACTGAGCTCATGTGAAACCTATACCTAGACCATGAGGCAGTTGTGCAAACAAAAGAAAAGAACATTGTAATGTTCAAAATCAAGATAGGTGTCAGGGCTGTGTCCTTTCTACATACTTGTTCAATATGTATGCTGAGCAAATAATTTGAGAAGCTGGACTTTATTAAGAGTAATATGATATCAGGATTGGAGGAAGAGTCATCAACCATCTGTTTCATGCAGATGATACAACCTTGCTTTCTGAAATTGAAGATTTGAAACACTTGCTGCAGAAGATCAAGGGCTGTAGCATTTAATTTGGGTTTCACCTGAATATCAAAACAAGATATCCTTACCTGGGCCAATAGGTTGCATCATGATAGATGGACAAAAGATTGATGTTTTCAATTATTTCATCTTGCTTTGGTCCACAAACCAAGCTTTGGTATGAGCCAGTCAAGAGATCAGAAGATGTGTTGCATTGGGGAATATCTGCTGTGTAAGATTTATCCAAAGTTAAAAAGAATAATAAGAACCATGAGTAGAGTGTAACAAAACTTGAACAAGATTAGTCCAGAAAATGTGCAACTTAAATTTTACTAACCCTTACTCTTTAATCTTGAGTAAAGTATATGATCTCTTTGGGGCTCAGTTTCCCTATCATCTTTTCAGGATTGTTGGAGAAATTAAGCAACAATCTATAAAGGTGATAATTTATCTCTACTTCATAGGTTGTGGTGAAGAGAAAATAACAATTGATGATTTTCTGAGTCAAAGAGTCAGTCTATTTTAGACAAAGAATATGAGCTGTACCACCAAAACTCACAACTTTGTTTTACAGGTGGCTAATCTTAGATGTTATTTTTATTTTCTTTAATTATTTAGTAAACTTACTCTGAGCTCTGGTGGCCTAGTAGTAAGAAGCTGCACTGGAGTCCCAAGGGCATGCTGTTTGAATTCACCAGCTGCTTCATGGGAGAAAGATGGGCAATCTCCTCCCATGAGATTAACTGCCTCTGAAAACCCCTCTGGAAGGTCAGCTATTAGTCTGTTCCAACTCAATGGTACACAACAACAACAACTCGGGGAAAGCATGGAACTCAGCTCCAATTTAAACAAATGCCTTAACTAGACTAATGATAAGTAAACCTAGTGTAAACAAGTCTCAATTTTCATTTTGTAAATTATCCTTTGGGGATTTTAATGTTTCAGTATTTTTAGTAACTGCACTCTACTTTTCCTCATAGCAAAATAAACCATGATGAAAACCATTATCTACATTATTACATGTATACTTGGATACAAGGACCATTCTTGGATTCAGATTTCAAAATTTTTCCTTCAATTGCCGCATTACTACTTCTTAACTATACCAACTTAGGAAATGGTCTCATCTGTTTGAGCCTGAACATTCAGCTACAAAGTTAGTATATGTTTGTATTCATATTTCTTACTTAACTTTCAGATGTTAAGACAGCAATATACAGTATTATACAAATGTAAGGAACAAATATTACCTTTTTAAAAGTAAACTAGTAGAATTTAAATGTTTCACTTTGCAAAATTGTAAAATTATATAAAAGGTTAGTAAAATGAACTGTGCACTCATAACTGACTTAAAACATTTATCAAGTCTGTGTCATCTACACATGAATCTATTTGCCTACTTCACTTCAGGTTTTTTGAAAGCAAATATTAGATTTTTAAAAAATTTTTAAAATTTATTATTCATTTCAATGAAAATTTACGGAGATTTTGGATTTCCATTCATTCATTCTTGCACTTTTCTTCCCCACCAACCCTCCCACCCAGTACGCACCCTCTTGGAAAAGAAGAAGAAAAATTCTTTCATTGTTTTACAATCCCTCCCCCAAGGTCCACTCCACTATGCAGCCTTCGTTCTGGACTCCTGTCATAACAATAATACTTAATCACATATCCCTTTTAAACAGTTTTTTCCCTCATCTATTTTAATGCAGTATACATTATGTATCTTTCTCAGTCTCCCCCCAATCCCAATGTCAGTCCTGTTTTACAACAGTGGTGCTATGCAGTATTTGTCCTTTTGTGTCCATGGTCACCCATTTTGAATAATATTGCATGAGTTCCTTGTTTTTCAATGCGGTGTAGTATTCCAATGTGTGAATATACCACAGCTTCTCTATCCATTCATTTGTTGATGGGCACTTAGGTTGTTTCCAACTCCTTGCTAGTGTGAACAAAGCCGCGATAAAACATGGGTGTGCATATATCTGCTTGGGTGTCAGTTATGGTTTCTTTGGGGTATATTCCCAGTAGTGGAATTGCTGGGTCAAATGGTATCTCTTTTTGTAACTTTTTGAGAAAGCGCCACACCGCCTTCAACAGTGGTTGCACCACTTTACTCTTCCAACAACAGTGAATAAGGGTTCCAGCTTCTCCACAACCTTGCCAGCATTTGTTGCTTGCAATATTAGATAATTTATAATTTCATTTTTAATTATTTTACTGTTTCTAAAATATAAGAATTCTTTCACCTTAAGTATAGTTGTAATACCAGTACCATACCAAAAATTGTTTAGTCATTATTAAATATTTACAACCATCAAAATCTAAGCAGTTTTTATATTTTCTTATTTGTTTGAATCATTATTTAATAATATCCATACTTGAGAAAAAATTGTCTTTTCTCAAATATGTTTTCTTGAAAGCAAGGATAAAATCTGATCACATACTGGGAGTAAATGAGGTAAAATAAATAATTGGAGTTAGGTAGATTGCCTCTTGTAATAATGATATCAACAACCATCATTTCTTGTGTACCAGACACTAGACTAGGCATTTGATGAAGAAGGATAATAATAACCATTATTTCCGTTTATTATTGCTTACTTCGTAATAGTGGACACCTGGTCACTATTGTCTCAAAGTACCTTTTTTTAATTTTTTAATTTAGTTTGTTTATTTTTAATTTCAATGAACATCTACAGAGATTTTGGAATTCCATTCATTCATTGTTGCACCCTTTTCCCCACACAGACCCCTCCCCCTCCTTAGCTCCTCTCCTTGAAAAGCAAAAGAAAAACTCCCTCATTGGTACACAATCCCCCCACACCTCCCCAAACCCCACCCCCTACCCCCAAATATAATCCACTCTGCAACCCTCATTGCGTACTCCTACGATAAAAATAGAATACTTTTAGACTATTCTCTCCCCCATAGACTTCAATGCCGTAAACATATTTCATCCAGTTTTTCTCAGTCTTACCCCCACCCCAATGCCAGCCTCATTCTACAACAGTGGCACCATATAGCCTTTTTTGCCTGAGATACCTCACTCAGCATAATGTCCTCCAGGGTCACCCATTTTGAATAATATTGCATGAGTTCCTTGTTTTTCAATGCAGCATAGTATTCCATTGTGCGAATATACCACAGCTTCCCTACCCATTCGTTTGTTGATGGGCATTTAGGTTTTTTTCCAACTCCTTGCTATTGTAAATCAAAGTACCTTTTCAGGGCTGAAACTTGTTTTGGGGGAGCTGATGCTGACTCATGGCACCTGGTGTCCAGGGGCAGAGCGTCACATGGTTTTCCCAGCTGTGATCTTTACAAAGCAGATCACTAAGGAGTTTTTTCTAAAATTCCCAGTGTTGGTTTGAGCCACCAAACTTTTAGTTAGCCACAAAACACAAACTGTGCCTTTCTGGGGACTTTACAGAAGGTTACAGACATTTATTAAATGGAAATGCTTGCGTATGAACGAATTATTTTTACTCTAGAGTGTGTATTCTTTCCAAACTCTGTCATGGCAAATATTTTCTCCTTAAAGGCCTACTTTTACCAAAGATCTTTCTTTCTTTTGGCAGTTGGAGATTTGCATTTTATTTAGTGATTACTGCAGCTGGAATTGCATTTCTTTATGATGTAAGTTTTCTTTTTGATATTTTCATTTTTTATCTTTAATTTTGTAGCAATCTTGCCATTGAATTTCTTTTTTAAAATAAAATATACTGTTTTACATTTGAAATGTATAAAGTTCACAAACATTGTTTTTCACACCAGACCTTTACCCTTTTCTTTACCGATTCCTCCCTCCACCCATCAAATTCTGTGACCCTATGTTTAAGCCACATACACACCCCACCCCACCACGATCCGCGTAAATGCTCTGCAATAATGGTCCTATAGCAAGAACACAGAAACAACCCAAATGTTGGTGAATTTCTTAAAGAGATAGTATTTTCGATTAGCACCATCCAGGCTTCTTGAATTTACTCATGCAGATTAAAACAAGCTTGGAAGCAGGAGTGGCATCCACTTCCAAAATAGCTTGCCTCCAGAAACCCTATGAACCTGGAGAAAGTATGAAAGTTATAAAAGTGTCCAAGTCTCTCATTCATAGAGTTCCTATGAGTCGCCTACAACTTGGTGGCACTTAACAACAACAACATTTACCTATCAATTGTTTCCTTTCTTTAATTTGCTTATGTTGTGGTGGTGGTAGTGTACCATCAAGTTGGAACCTACTCATAGTGACCTTACAGCTGTTTTTCAGAAGCAGTTAATTGCTCAGGAAGATTACCTATCCTTCCTCAGAATGGCTTATGGACTTGAATGGTTTGCAGTGCAGCTTCTTGCCACTAAATCACGAGAGCTCGTGTGTTGTTGTTGTTAAGTGTCTTTGAGTCGTAGAGACCCTATGAACGAAAGACCTGAAGACCTGTGCAACTTCCGTCGTTTCTCCTCGCTCATAGAGTTTCCAGAGGCAAGCTATTTCAGAAGTGGATGCCACTCCTGCTTGCAAGCTTGTTTTAATTGGGGAGCTCCACCAAACACTGTTCACCATTAGTAAACCTTATCACATTTGACATATCAGTGTCACAGTGTTTAGCATCACAGTAACCACGAGTTACCTCTGTACAACAAATGGGCACACCAGTGCTATATCACTTAAAAGAATGTTTGCCAAAAACAATTAATACCAGGTCTGAGGGCTGCAGACTAAAATCCCCACCTTTGGCTTGGTAGCATCACTTTCTGTCCACTAGGCTAACTAAGCTCTCTCTATGTTGTTGTTATTTTTATTAAGTGTCATCAAGCCATAGATGACTCAGCGACCCTATGAATGAAAGACCTGAACGCTTGTATAACTTTCATCATTTTTCCATGTTCATAGAGTTTCCAGAGGCAAGCCATTTTGGAAGTGGATGCCACTCCTGCTTCCAAGCTTGTTTTAATCAGGAAACTCCACCACACACTGTCCACCATGGGTAAGCACTATTGCATTTGACACATCAGTGTCACAGTGTTTAGCATCCCAGCAACCACGAGTTATGTCTGTACAGCAAATGGGCAGGCCAGTGCTATACCACTTAGAAGAATGTTTGACCAAAACCAATTAAAACCAAGCCTGAGGGATGCAAGCCCAAGCTGGAGGGCCCAAATGAGTTTTTAAAATAGGAGACTGAACCACATCATCTCACACCCATTAGTGAGTCAACATTCCACCCTTAATCCTCACCAAAACCAGCAAACAAGCCTCTATAGAATCCGATTGGCTGTTGCAGATGACTTCCAAATAACCATACCAACCCACTGGCATTGAGTTGATTCCAACTTTTATCAGCCCTTTATTGGGTTTTCCATGTTGAAAATCTTTACAGAAGGAGACCGCCTGTCTTTCTTGTGGAGCACCAGTTGAATTTGAACCAAGCAGCTCAGTTTGTAACACAGTATATCACCTACCATTTTACTATTTATTTTATACTTATACCACTTATAGACCTCATGCCAATTGATATATTTCAACAGACACTGCCCTGGATGTGCTCACTAAGTTGTGCCAAGAAATCTGGAAGGACAGCCAGCTGGCCAACTGAATGGAAAAAAATCTATATTTGTTCCCATTCCAAAGAAAGGTGACCCAACAGAGTGTGGAAATATCGAACAATATCATTAATATCACATGCAAGCAAGATTCTGCTGAAAATTATCCAAAAATGTTTGGAACAATATGTCAACAGAGAACTGCCAGATGTGCAGGCTGGGTTTAGAAGAGTTCATGGTACTTGGGATATTATAGCTA